CAGTAGTAGGCTCCTGGATACTTGTGACTAATGTTTTAGCACTCAACATTTAAAAAAAAAAGATAATTGGTTGAAAAATTAAACTAACAACATATAACCATAGACGAGAAGGAGGATAACTAGAAATTGGTAATAGGTATGGTAATAGGTATGTTTGTGATGGGTAAACCAACCGGCTTTATTGATTTTACCAAAATGTACCTGCCAAATTTAAAAAATAATAATAATAATTGGTATTGGAGCAAAATATTAATCGAGGGATACTTGCAGGGACATTATATTTAATCGGCACCCATGAAGGTGTTATAGGGAGAGTGTATCAGTTTGTCAGCATATTGTAGTGATACTAGAGGGTACAATTATATGGATAGAATTTATGCTGTATGGCTGTTTAAATCTTTGAGTTGATAATCCTTACTGTGACTGACTATCCACAAGTATCTATGTAGACTTGATCAATTGAGCAACACTCTGGCTGCACAGGCGCTCATGCAGCAATCTATGGATAGCTACAGGTAATCAGCTAACATCTAGACAGACATGAGCAATGGAATTGCTCCTAAATTGAATAGATGCATATGTCTAATCTGATGGTCAGTACAGCTGCCTACTTCACCATTTAGCTCTTATCTCTCCTTTAGAAGTGTTGGCTAAGAAACTATTAGATCAATTTAGAATTTGTGAACGGATTCAATCCTTGTCTTGGTCTTTATAGTATTTTATTATCTCCTCATACTGAGACAGACATTATACATCGATAACAACCAATATTGTTTGTAGAAATAATTAACTCCACTAAGATATGTTTGTATCTATTCTTTGAAAGTGCCAAGGTAATAGCTCACAGGGTATTTATACCACAGTATTTTGCTGCATCATTTTATATTGAGAGGTTAAGATTCTGTACCTTTCACTATACACTACCCATCTCTACTCCACCTAGGGTAAATTTCTGATATAGTTACACAGTAGATATTGTTCTGTACTAACGCTTCATTGACCTGTGTTAAGATATAGGTTTTATAATTACGTGCGGTTACTCCTCCATATAAATCTAGTTTTCTCCTATTCTAACACTTTAACATCTTAGCGAGTCTCTCCCTTATTTGTCTTTTTTATCTAATATCTGTCGCTATAAGCCCACCTTTTTAAGGTCCAGCTGGGACTATATTATAAGGGGCTCTTTTCAGTAAACGAACCCAAGTTATATAGACATTGGTAACTTGAGAGACTATATGCTTTAATATATTACTAGGATAATAAGCAACAGACTTTTCTATGCTTTTACAAATGGCACTAGGTATGGTTAATACATTTTGGTAAAATCAATAAAGCCGGTTGGTTTACCCATCACAAACATACATATTACCAATTTCTAGTGAATATATAGTTATCCTCCTTCTTGTCTATGGTTATATGTTGTTAGTTTAATTTTCAACCAATTATATTTTCTTACCCAAGAGGGATTTCTCCAGAGAGATTTTCCCTGATTTTTGTCTTATACATAGACACGTCAGACACTAACGCAAGGATGGCATACACCTCCTCAGCGCTATACAATCTCTGTGACCTCTTCTCAATCCTACAAACCCATGCCACCCCCCACAAATCCCCACCCCCCCACAAGCCCTTGCCACCCCCTACCACTCCCTGCTAACCCCCACAAACCCCTGCCACACCCCACAAAACTTTCTCTAGGCACTTTAGCCTCAATTTAATATTATTGGGTAAGCTTTCAAATTATTTAATATTCTTTGACAAACTTTTAAAATTATGTATTTTGAATGTGAATGTGAATATATATATTGTAAAGGATCCTTCTATTCGTGCAGTGCTGATCCTTGTAGTTTCTCCCGAAATCCCACTGAAACAGAGTGATTATAGCTTCCAACCCCCCAAACATGAGTCGAGACTTCATGAAGGGGTAAAACGATCTGATTTAATGGGGGCTACCTGCCCGGTATTTATGCAGGTCTCCCACCTGGTGGACACTCCCCTAGGGTACCAGATGGAAGACTGGGTCAAAAGAATTACAGTAGCCAATCGCAGTGGCTATAACATAAGCACTCCCCTTTTACATAGGTCACTCCCTCCTTACCATCCTGGAGATAATTAACTTAAGGTAGTAAAGAGAGCCTTAATTATCTCCAGGTAGAAAGAAACATGGCTTTTCCCATATTCACAAAACAGCATAAAAATCTATAACTTATATTTTACTGAACATAAACTTTAAGTCCCACATACCCCCAGATAGCTTGGATCTGAGAGCATATTCTAGGCGAATAGCGCTCAGATCCCACGAACACAGTTCTCAATAACGTCGAATGAAGTTTGGACTTCACCGGCCGTTTGCGTGTTTGTATCCGACAAAGAGTTCCACACTGTAGCTATCTGGGGTTGGTCTCTTTTGCATAAATCCAAGTCCCGAACGGTGCAATGTCTCCGGTATTCGTGTGTTTTCAACCGTATGAACGAGGACCTTGGTAAGTATCAGCGGTGTTCGGCAGAATAAGTATCCGAAAGAGAGTTCCAGGGCATCGCCGCCATTTACCGCTGGGCGTTCGACGATTTAAAATGGCGACTGCCACGTGTTCGGCAGACGAACCCGGACCACCAAGCTGTTCCCCAATTACTCTGTGGTTAACCGCAAAGTCTGGGTGGTTAATGGGTGCCACACGACCTCAGTAGGAGGTCGGGTGATTCTGCAGTTTATTCGTTTTATTGCTATTTGCACGAAATCACCCCACACACGTCTAAATAACCGAACAGGCTGGTTCGTATAGTCTGCTTAACAAGGGATTTCGTTACATATACATATATATATATATATATATTAAATCATTTAAAAGGTTTATAAAAAATAATTAAATGGAGGCCTTGGTTTAATTTGCGAGAAGACTTACCAAGGTGGAAAAATCACTGCCTTAGCCTGCTTAGGGGAGAGCAAAGTAGAAAAGAGTTGGTAAACATATAAACAGATCAGCAGCGTCAACAGAATCCGCAAAACCTCAAATCTTTAAATTGTGTCTTTTTTACCTGTCACGCAGGATAGCAATTCTGGTAGGTAAGTATAGTGAGATTGTTGGTATTGGTCGGTGAACATTGAAGTTGAGGATTGTGTCTGCCTCTGGTCTGCAGAGACCTCCACCAGTGCTCTGACTTCATGTCTTCTTGCACAACGGCAACACCACTGCCCAAATAAAAAATATAAATACATTTAAAAAAAAATTATATATATATATATATATATATATGTAAATCATTGTTTAGTAAATATACACCAAATCAAGGCATGATTGCATGTAATTAATGCATTTTTTTTTCTTTTTTTCATTGAGGTTATATCTAAAAACAGCTTGTAAAACCTGCAGATCTCGTGTCTGCTGCCTTTGCAAGCCATCCCTATCTAACCCCACCCAGACTTTCTGTGGCTGTCCAATCCAGACTTCCCAATGCAGCTCAATGAGAAGTCTTTGCAAGGCAGGTGCCCTGAGCAATTACTGCCTCTTGAGTTTAGCTCCACTGAGAAACAACCAGGAAGTAACAGGACTGGTCGTCATACTGACAGCTAAGGGGTGCAACAAGGTTCATTTACATTTTTTTATATTACAATTTGTACTTGTAAAATGAAAAAAATAGGTTGCATTCATTAAACATAAAAGGGGATTAAAGGGACAATCCATTTTCCTGGCACTGCAGGTCCCCTCTCCCTCCCACCTCCCAATCTCCGGTTGCTGAAGGGGTGAAAACCCCTTCAGTCACTTACCTGAGACCCCTGCCGATGTTCCTCGGCGGTGGTTTTGGGTCGCCACCGCTCCTCCCAGTCATTACGTCAGCCGGTGGGCGAGACTGATACCGCCCGCAGCCGGAGACCTAATGCGCATGAGCAGCATTGCTTTTCAATGCTTTCTTATGGGGAATTAAACGATGCTGGAGGTCCTCACAGAGCGTGAGGACGTCCAGAGACGCTCTATCACAAGTTTTCTGTGCTATGGACAAGGAAGTGCCCTCTAGTGGCTGTCTAGTAGGTGGAGTTAACCCTGCAAGGTAATTATTGCAGTTTTTTTTTTTAAAAACTGCAATAATTGCACTTGCAGGGTTAAGAGTAGTGGGAGTTGGCACCCAGACCACTCCAATGGGCAGAAGTGGTCTGGGTGCCTGGAGTGTCCCTTTAACTAGGAATCACAGGGCCCCAGTGCAAGAATCAGAAAAGGGGCCCCTCTTACACTCTCACTTATACACATACACTGATATACTCACTAACACACACTCTTTCACTGACAGACACACACTCTCACTGATTTGACATACACTGACAGACACACACACTCACTGACAGACACAATCATTAACAGACAAACAAACTTGAGAAGTTTAATAAAAACATGACCATGGTTCACAACCTGATGTTGAATAGTCCAATATGTAACAAAGTGTATTTATGAACTATTTAGGCATTCTAAATAGCACTAAAATTGGAACCTATCAAATATCCTTTCAGTATTAAAAACCATATTTTTTGCACCATTATATGCTGCAAAGGATAATTCTTTTCAGGCAAATATGTCACATATGTGAAGGTATGGCATTTAGAAATGTCACTTACCACCTGATTTCAAGGCCTTAGATTGGTAAGCTGAATCGTTCGAAGGGTCCTATACAAAGCAAATTGGAATGTTGGATCTTTTGTGGTGATCCAAATGATAATCAAATTCTATACGTTTCTTGTTGCGCAACCTGACACACACCTTTACTGCCACTCACTCAAAACATTGCTGTTAAATTTAGATTTCAACCACTGCACACAGTGTGCACGAATAATTACCAATGATAAACATACTTATTTCGGGTGGGCTTTATAGGCTCAAGAAGTTTAATTACTATTTACATGGAAGAGACTGATGCGAACAAGGTTATACTGTCCAATAGAGAGATAAACATTGTTTTTGTTACGATTTGATGCTTAATTTCATTTTGTTTGATTAAAATGTTCTTTAATATATGTGTTACTATAGCCACTTTTATTGTATTCTTGTTTTTCAGAGTAAGGAGCGACGTGTTGTAGCTCTGTTCACTATATCTAACTGCTGTTGCTCAGGAGCTGTAGAGAGTAACTAAAATGAAACACAAGTAATTCTAATGATCATATCTATACAGTTAGGAACTTACACAAATACTATTTAAGTCTGGGCCAAAGTACTAGGAAATACAGATTTATTCAGAACTCCGCGTTAGATAAAGAAACAGCAATGTATTCAGAAAAGTCATGTTGATATTGAGCTGTTGATATTACAAGGCGGGTCAGTGTAAATCAAACAGACAAATAATACATAAAAGAACATAAGAGTATTCAGCTAAGCTCCATGTTGGTGAACGACGGAGGTAGGACCATTTTATTATTATTAAATAATGACCTTTAAAGTACAATCCTGAACATGTGCATTTCAATAATTGTTACCAACAAAGAAGTAAAGCAAAGAATGTACAACAGGTTGCACCGTTGAAAGTTTGCGACTTTCCAAAGTTATACCTGTTATTTCAATGAATACCGTTAAGCTGAGAATTCTAGTGTAATTTGAAAAACAGAATTAATTACAACGCCAGGGGAATATAAGCGTTTCCACGTACTAAAAAAGGAGAAGAGATGTGTACATATGTATGCAATTGCCAGCGAAATAGATATTTCTGGATGTAAAACTTGGCTTGCATGCAACATTCAAAAAAAAGTTGAAAATCACAGTTGAAAAGCTGTGAACAGTGTCTATCAGGCATATATTACCATCAACTTAATTTCATGTGTTGTTTTTTTTTTAGGTAAAATATCCAGCAAAAACCGGCCTGCTGCCATATTTTGTCACGATGGAGGTCTACAACACAAATAGCTAAAACTGAAAACTAATAACACACTTAAAATATAACCATTTCAATATCCTTTTTGTTTGATCTTACAGCTTTACTTTTTCATATTCATTTTTTTCCCAAAAATGTCGAGCCTAGCTTTACTAATTTAGTTTCATAAGGTTTCAAAATTATATTGCTATAATGTATCATGAACATTTGAAATTTGTCTAAGAAAAAAAACTGTAAAAAATAAAATGATTTCTTAGTTTTATAGTACGTTTTCAACAGACCAGAGTAGAAAATTCAGAAAATAAATATTCAATATAATACTTGTGTCTACAAATGAGGATAGTGACTTGAATTGGAGTTTTACTACAATGTACCTGTCTCTAATTTCTATTGGAATTACTGATGGTTCTATCCCATAGTATAAATTTGGAGAAAAAATAAATACATTTTAGAGTAAATAGAATTCGGTCAGTATGCTCAATGCTCATTGTCACAACATACAATTCAGACGTAAAGTAAAATACTACACATGACAAACTTGTAAAACCAATACAGGATGAATACTAGGATAGCAGTTGACTATTAAAGATTGCAATGTCATTCTATAAATCCTTGTTTCAAGTCTTTGTAAAGGCTTTATAATAATACAACAGGAAATGTCACTTTCCGGTCATCGCTTAGTAAATCCACGTCTTCACATCACGCAAGATGAGAGATTAGTCAAGAATGTTCGGAAGATTCATAATTCGTCTCAATTGTGGTATAATTACTAAACAATGTGTCAACTAATGATTTACAAATGTTAACACGAACATAGAGGGGTTGGAAACATTCTGCCATAATTTTAATTTTTACCTGGCTCTACTATTTTTACGTAGTTTAGCAAATTATTTGCAATGTTTTGCTTAATGAATAAGCGTATTCCAAGTAATCGTAACTGTAAATATAAGCTATTTTGTGAGGTCTTTGAACTTACAAGTAAAACAGTAGTTTTGGTAAGCACATTCTGCAGAGTGGGAGCACATGGATAAAATTATACCAAGTGTAACAAAATACATATCTTACATAAATCTCATTAAACACTTCAACACCGCCATTTTGAGTTTCTCGCAATCTAGATTACATGTAATGAAAAAGGCCCTACAACTGAGGTTGCAAACAACACCTGTGAGAATTAATTCCAGCAAATGATAAAGTGTAATAATGAATTAAAATGTATCTACACAACTTTCTAAGGCCCTGTGATACGATGTAATTATGCTAAGCCAGATCCAATTGCAGTGCTGTTTGGTTTTGTAAATGTGAGAACACAGAAGTAATTGACAAAGCAATCTAGTTAGACCTCTATATCAATCATTTATATATATATGAACTCACATTTGTTAAAAAAAAAAATCTTATACTATTGCCTTAAGATTCATTGTAAAGAATGAAAACAAATTTGGTGTTTCTGGTCATCAACTATCAGAAACTGGATACGAGTGGGTTTTTTTTTTCATTATAAATGCTTGTCATTTGTTATTTATGATCATTGAGAACTTCAGTGATCACATGAACTCTAACAGGCAACTCAGCGTTATACCAACTTGACAATAATAATAATTTAAAGAGATGGCATAATTTTAAGGTGGTGCTTAGCCATGGAGTTTTAATAAAGTTACGTAATCCATAACTTTACACAATAAAACTATACAGTGACTACTGAACGCTGGAACTCAAAGTAAGTATTAATTCTTCTCAAAAAATGACTGCTAGTAGTTAAGGATAAAAAAAGAAGTAGGTTGTCACACAATTATCAAAATAACTATGTAACTCTATATGCGCATGGTAATGAAACATTACAACTTTAAATCCTAACCCAGGACCAGACTGCCACAGGAAGACAGAAATGGCATTTAATGAAGAGTGCCCAGGCAATTATATAAAATATATTATTTTAAGTTTATTTCCTTCCGAAACAAGTAATTACAACCCAGTAGTGATCACACATAATCTGATTGTATTTCTGCATGATATAGGGAAAATACATTCTCAAACTGTATGTGTATGGAAAATATTTATAAGTAAAATCCATGTTCTAAATTGGAAGAAACTATCTACAATTTCTTGATTTGTGTAAGTCAAGGGTGGCCAAAAGCTAGACCTCCATGAAGCTACAAAACCCATGATGACTTACCAGATGTGATGTTGGCAACATAT